AGAGACAGTATACATACTGTTTTAAATAACTTTCTATCCTTGAAAAGTGTGTAAAATAAGAACATTGTGAGACTGAAATTGGCAAAAAATATCTGTCTGGGCAAAATATTACTGGTTCTTGTAAAAAAAAAAGCATAACAGGCAGACACACTGATAGATTGATAATGTTGATAGCGGAATAACAGATATTTAAATAAATGCAGGTGCTACAGTAAGTCTGTGTACAGATCCGGTGAGAGTTTCATTCATGCGCCCTCATTTTTTGACATTATTCTGTATTCACCGCATATGTTAACAGTTACCAGACAAGGATCCTAAAGGTATGATACGCTTCAGATAATAATCATAAGTGCCTGCCCTCTTGGGTGCCATTAAAAACCAGCATGAAATGTGATTTTACATCTGCAATGACCACCCTACGATCAAATTCATTACTCCTTTAACATGTTAGTAAAAGGCTCCAGGCTATGGCAAATTGTTGGAAAGAAGGAGAACTGCATGTCAGATTTATTTAAAGAAAACAAACCGTGGAGTTTGGAATATTATTAAATTTAGAAGGAAACCTGATCACTATAAACACACATCCTATATGTACAAATTGTATATAGGATCTGTGCTATAAATGAAGATGGGACTGCAGAGCAACTCTTGCTGAATGCTAAAAGACAAATCTTGATACAAATATCTGTATTATTTATTTCTCATATTTACTGTACAAGGTCGAAATAATGCTTTCTATTGGAAGCATGGTTTTTTTTTTACTTACTGTATTACAATCATCCTTGAATAAAAAATATTTTGGCATAAAAAGTGCCAACTTCAGATTTTGAAGATTTTTGGGTCAGTCAGGATTGGAGTAACACAAACATATTTTTGGCCTACAGTAATCAATAATTAATAAAAAATAGCAAACATAATACAAATAAATCATAAGGAAAACTTTTGAATAAATAACAATTTTGTTAATCAAGAATAAGATAGTTAACTTCCTTATTGTTAATATTCTTTGCACTTTAATTTCACTTACCATTGGGGTCGTCTTGTGACAATCGTTCAACTAGAAATTATAAAAAAATAATAATTAAGTATATAGTACATAAATTTCTGAGTTTTTTTGCATTGTTTTAATACATATAATAATAAATAATAAATGTATTAGCCAATTTCCAGTAGGAAATATTTGGCACCAATTAATATATGCTTAGGTGGGACTATAGTAAGTATACTATTTTTTTTGGGTAAGTTCCAGAAAATAAATTTGGTTCTTCCAAGTACAGTACTATAAGTACATATTCACAAAATAAAATGTTATGATGTCCAACAAAAAAAAAAAAAAATTAATATAGCATATTAAATATGCTAATTCTCAAAGTTCTGTGGTAGCTGTGAATATTATAAAGGGGCATTCACATCAAATCCGAATTTTCAGTTTGGAATCCTACCGAACTGTTCTTAAATCAAATCAGTATGCAAGAATACTGTACGGAAGTTGGTGTTCAGTGTTTCGGAAAAGAATTTTGGTTAAGATCCGATGTTACTGCAGCTTAAGTTAGGTGCTAGGAATCGAATATACTGTATTTCAAAGCTTAGTGAGATTTATTTCATTCCTACATGAGATCCATGTATTTTGAGGGAATGAACCAATAATGACCTATATAGGATTAAACCAAGTGTCATCTATGGAGCTATAACTCCCTACTGGGAATAGGAAATAAGGTTTGGATAAAGTTTGACAGATAATTCATAAATACAGTGGTACTGAAGACAATGATGTTTTATGAATCTGCTCTATAAACTTGGATGGATTTTCTCTCACCTTGGTTTCCATGGCATTGCCATGGGGGACTGGTCAAAGCTCTGGGATAGATACGTAATTCTTCCCACCAACCCTGTGAAATAAATCAAAATAAATGTTAGATGGATTCATCTGAATTACATTAATTACGTTCAAATACATTACTTTATTGTCTATTAAGTATTAATTAGAGATATTTGGTGTCCCAGAATTATTTTATTGATTTAGTAAATTTAGTAATTCCTTTTTCCAAAATGTTTAAATTAATCTCCAAGCAAAACATGGAGAACCTGTTTATAATTATTTTTCATTGTCCAAGTAATCAATGTACGTTGAAATAAACTGCAGATATTCAATACCAACAGTCTATTCATCATAACAGAAAAAAAAATGTATGACAACTTAAACCAGACTTTCAATCAAAGTTTAACTGCATAGAGAAATAAAATTGTTACTGTTTCCTTAACACTTCAACCACAAAAACCACAACACCATCCAATCCAATACTACAGTAATTATAAATTATGATGTTTGTCATAGCAATTCTGAAGCAACAGTCAAAACAAAGCACTGCTGTATAGCAGTAAAGGAAGCATGGTAAATTGGACAAGTTTGTCTTTAGGTGTTGGAGACATGAGTAACTACAGCACTTTAGGTGTTAAGTCTATTGAATCAACTCAAGCTAATGTCCAGCTGAAATCTTAAAAAAAAAATATTTCATACAAGGTTTAAATGATGGAATTTTGTGATAAAAAAAGAGAGTTCTGTTAGTAATGTTCACCAACTGTAGTGGGTCTACAGGCCAGGACACCATGATGAACTTTAATCGACTTAAACAATTTTCAACAGAATCCTTCTATCTGGACTGTATTAATTTTCTCCTTATTTAACATCAGTGTAAAGGTGCTACTCTACTAAATGTTTAAAGAACTATAATAAGGGGAAAATATTTCCTGATATTAGGCACACGGACTAAGGACTGCCAATAGTGAACATATTACTTCCTTACAATTATACTAGAGAGCGAGTTAAAAATCCCAATAAAAATACAATAAAAAGACATTATGTAGACAGGATCAATGGATTATTGTCCCCTCCGAAGGGCAAAGCAATTACTGAAATGTACAATAATTAGCATTTCCTTGTTAGGCCTGAGATCAAACTTTCACCTCAAGAAAGTTTTAAAGAAGACTCTTGTAAGAGACCAGATGCAACAATTGCTACTATCCCCTCCGTTTACCATACTTATTAGATTGTAAGCATGTTTCTTGTATGGCTCCTGGAAAGTTTCAATTTACAATCATGTCTGGTACTTATGCGTTACGGATGTCAAATCCAGACATAATTTAACCTAATAATGACAACAATGAACAGTAACTAATACTTTCAGTTCTTAATTTCAGAAATTATTGAATACTACTCTATTTACTTGAGATGCTCAAATTTACAGTCTCTGGTTAAAACTTCACTGAAGAAAAAATTGAATAAAAGAAGTTTTATAATCATAAACAATGTCTTTATCTTGCTGTTTTTTAGTTCATAAGGCACATGGTATGCAAGGTTAATATACTTTTAAATAATTATCTTTATTGTAATTGTATTGTCATTTTTAAATAAATACCACAAATCTTCAGATGAAATATACTGTATGCAGAAAATTACATTTCTTTCTACAGTATATAACATAATTAAATCTTACATTGACATATTATTTTTTTTTAGATTCATATTTTTATTCAACCAATCATTGTATTTTCAGATTTTATAATTATCTTTATTGTATTGCCATTTTTAAATAAATAAATAAATACCACAAATCTTCAGATGAAATATACTGTATGCAGAAATTACATTTCCTTCTATATAACATAGATAAATCTTACATTGACATATTTTTTTTAGATTCATATTTTTATTCAACCAATCATTGTATTTTCAGAATTTGACCTTAAGACTCAGTAGGAATTGAGGGTGAGTTTTTCACCCACAATCCATAATTCACATCTATGAGAATAAGAGGTTAATTTGTCAATGGAAAGCGAGACCATCTAAACAAAAGAAATTACTTTAAGTGGCAGCCACCTTTAACACTGCCACTTGGGACAACATAGCTCATGCACAATGCAACTTCTCCATAAGATTTACTTTAGGTTGTTGGTGAACAAATCTCCCGTTTCACATCAAACATACATAGGTTACAAAGAGTTCAAGCACTCATTAATTTTGTTTGGATTTAATTGTAATTCTTAAAAGCTATTGAATATCAAGAGCAACATGAAGGTTAGGGAGCTGGGAAGACTATCCTCTCTTCTTGTTCTATTCATTTAACAATGCTCCATCAAATCTTTCTGACCACTTTTACATAAGAGAAAATTGTTACAGCACCAGACTTGCCAATGGTATCAACTTTAATATTCCTAAAGTGAACACCGAGTGTAAGAAAAATAGCCTTTTATAATCATGGTGCTAAGCTTTGGAATGACCTTTCAGATGAACTTAAATGTTCTTCCAATCCACAGTACATATTTTCAAGTAAAGTTTTTCTGATTTCATCCTCAACACTTAGAAATACCGGGTTGATGTCCGGTAGGGGATAGTTTCATTGGTAGTTAATAATACTGTGTTTTTATTGTTTTCTTCTGTTTCAGTGAACAAATCTCCCGTTTCACATCAAACATACATAGGTTACAAAGAGTTCAAGCACTCATTAATTTTGTTTGGATTTAATTGTAATTCTTAAAAGCTATTGAATATCAAGAGCAACATGAAGGTTAGGGAGCTGGGAAGACTATCCTCTCTTCTTGTTCTATTCATTTAACAATGCTCCATCAAATCTTTCTGACCACTTTTACATAAGAGAAAATTGTTACAGCACCAGACTTGCCAATGGTATCAACTTTAATATTCCTAAAGTGAACACCGAGTGTAAGAAAAATAGCCTTTTATAATCATGGTGCTAAGCTTTGGAATGACCTTTCAGATGAACTTAAATGTTCTTCCAATCCACAGTACATATTTTCAAGTAAAGTTTTTCTGATTTCATCCTCAACACTTAGAAATACCGGGTTGATGTCCGGTAGGGGATAGTTTCATTGGTAGTTAATAATACTGTGTTTTTATTGTTTTCTTCTGTTTCATTTTGTTTCTTCTGATTATGTATGTCCTTGCATGGTCTTAATGAAAAACACCCATGGGTGATTCGAGCGTCTCCGTGTTAAGTTAAAGTATATTATTATTATTATTACTGTATTATTATTATTACTTATTCCTACAAAAAAATGTTCACAACACAAAGCAATGCAAGGCTGACTTGTTTTTGGCAATAGAAAAAATATATACTTACCAAGAATTTATTCGTACCCAGTGAACCTTGAGAAATAAAAAACCATGAATTTTGTGGTGGGTTAAAATCGATTTTTCCTTTCAGTGTAAATTTCATAACATCCTGGCAATTGGAATACAACTTGACTTTATCATTGGTTAAAATCAACAGCCCATAGTTCCACTGCTTTGGGTCTGTAAACGGTGTTGGGATACTGGTCTTGTAAATATGCGAGTCACCTTTGATTCGATACTGCAATGTCATATTCCTAGACTTTAGGTCAGATGTAAGTGATAAGAAAGTTTTTCGCTGTTTTGATACAACAGAAAATAAAATCCCAGACGTATCCTTGTTTTGTTTCGCTACAAAGAATATACTGAAGGAGTTTGAGATCTGCTCCCGAAGGTAGTCAAAATCAAAATCTGATAATAATAAGATTCGGAGCATCGAGCGTGCACGCCAGACAGTGGCACCATTATGCATCCCTTCATACTCGGTTATGCCGGGGATATCATGGCTCATCCGCAATTCCTGAAGCAGGTCAATCCCTAGGGATTTAAAAATAGAAGATTTAAGTAACAATTAACGAAAATGGTTTTAAGAAAGAAATTTACAATATTCAGGGTAATTATCTGATAGGTTTTCATCTTTTGTTAAAACCTTTTAATCCGATTTTTTGTGAGTGTCACTTTTACATTTATATAATTTGATTTTTCTATAACAATTGTTTGCACAAATTGACATGTGTCTAATATACAGTACATTTCACCCTATAATTTGAGACCCTTCTAAATTCCAAGATCTTTCTAATTCCAGACTAATTTTTGAAAATACCAACAATCTTCAATTTTGTAACACAAAGCTAACTAATTTGGTAGTCTCTAGATAGAGGGCAAACTGTATTAAAAAAACTGAAAAAAAGTTCTGCACAACAAAATCCAACAGGTAAATTGAAATCATGTTTGACAACTTAGCCCCAGGGTAAGAGATCAGAGTAAACAAGTTGTCTACATCCTAGACATTGAGCACACGACAATACAGGTAATCAGGTAAATATAAGTAAATTTTGCGGATCATTTAATGCTTTGTGTTGCAAAAGTAACCTTTGAGTTGTCATTTACACCAATCTATTCTGATTTCTATGTTTGAACAGAAACTTGAGGATATTTTTACAAATTTGTTCATCAGAGGTCAAGTTGGAATTGTTTTCAAAGGAGGGAGAGAGAGACAAAAGGCAGGAGGCACTAATGTCAAATTACATTATCAAATGTGGCAAGTCAAGCCAAGCCAGTCAATCGTAAAAATCAAATTTTAGTTATTAATACAGTGTTTAACAGCAAAAATGAGAGCTCATATAATGGTAAAAAAGTAATTTTAATCCGACAATTCCATAAGAAGTTACAAGCATTTAAATATACAGCTGTTTAAGGAAAAATGAGAGTAAACAGTAAAATGAGAGTTATAGAATGGTAAAAGAATCATTTTTTATCCAACATTTCCTTAAGAAGTTAAAAGCATTTAAACATACAGCTGTTTAAGAAACAATATTTGAGAAATCAGCCTTCAAAGTTTATGATTTCGGGAATTTCTCAGGCATAAATTATCCCCAAAATTGTTAAAAATTGTTGTTTTAGCATTGAAAATGGTGAAAATAATAGCATAGCATGATGTATACATATATAAATATTATTGCACAATAAAATAGATTTCAAAAAAATTCACATTCCAGCATGTTTGGCCAATATCTCTGAAACAGGATTTGCGAGGAGTGACTGGGTTGGCTTGTCTTTGCCACAAACATAGTAATGTAAAATAAGGGCACTGATGGAATATATGTTTGTGAAGCCTCTGTCTGTTTTGCAATTAGCAAATCTGTCAACATTTAAGCAAACAGATCTTGTGAACACACAGGATTCCATTCTTAATACAGAGTTTAATCTGCATAATCGTTTAAAGTGATTACGTGACTATCTTCAAAACATGTGCTTTATATTAATATTAAATACAATGCTTCTTCTGATCCATAATGCCTCTTCTACCTTTTAGTTCTCTTTATCACTCATTAACATTATTCTCCTAAATCTACACTACCTCTTTTACCACTTGGGGGTTTCTTACTGTATTCAATTGGCATGGAATGTTCACTGTACAAAATGTGATAAAAAAAATATACTTTGAAGTCAAAGGTTAAAAAAACCAAGACTAATTGTACAATTTAAGAATTTAATTTAGAACACAATTTAAAATGTTAAGTTGCCTTTCCATTATTTATTATTGTTTATTCCAAGCTTGTATATTTTAAATAAACAACTTTTCTTAACATAATATATTGATATTTCAATTAACATTAGCATTAGGTTAGAGTAGCAGTAATTGTTTTTTCATTCACTAAACAAAACTCCAAGCACTAATTCCAAAATTAATTAGAGTTTTTCCGACTTTCATTTTAAAGAGATAAAATTAAACCATTTTTTTTTTATGAGGAATAATCTGGCAACTAATTTCAACTCCAGATCTAGTGGCAAAGTCAACATCCATGGAAATTTCAAGAGATATGATAGCTAAACAAATTGAGCTTACTGGTGACCACCGGGTCACGGATAAATTGTGTTTTCCTTCCGGCCTAATGATAGCCCAATAACTACTTCCTATAGGTGTTAACAATACCTCCAGTTACTAGCTACTGGTATACTAATATAGATAACAACTCAGCAACAAAGACATTTAAAATCCTTTCAATGACTCCAAAAGACTACCATTCAATTTACAAATTTGGCCTTAGTTGTTGACATAAAAGAAACCAACTACAAATAAGCGATTAGTGTTTGTGATGCCACATGGAATACTATTTCTAATAAACTATGTTTAAGGTTTTATTATTAAAGATATATTGTCCCATGCTAAATATAAAAAAAAATCACAATACTTTTTGAAATTAACTTTCCCATTTTGAAGTAACATAAAAGTTATCAACTTGAACATAGAAATTAATGTTTTTTAAAAATGTCTACCCATCAGTTTACAGCGAAAAATGATAGAAACACTTCCAATGACTGGAAGTGTTTTATTATTTTTATTATAATTTGTTAGTTTAAAAATCAAGGTACACAGTTTTTAAATTCAATAATTTCTATACAAGTTAACAATTTGTATGTTATTGCAAAATGAGCATGTTTATTTCAAACTTATTTTTTATGATTTTTTGACATTAGCAAGGGACAATACATCTTCAAATAGAATACCATAAAAAATAAGTTTCCATAGTAACATCTTAGACCTAGGATAAACACGGCCATAGCGACAATGTCAATTTTAATGCATTTAAAGTGCTAACCATCAAATATAAAAATCTATCGATCAATCACTGAATTTTGGAAAGGAAAATGTGAAATGGAGCTGCTCATTCTCCCTGAAAACAATGATTTCCGGCTAGACAGTAGAGAAGTTCCGGTAAGTAAGATACTAAACTAAATGGTTTTCATTCATTCTTAATAGCAGACAGGTCAAAGCAATTGCTCATTCAAAATGTTTACATACAAAATAATTTCCCAGAATTCCTTCACCTTTTACTTCACCCCTATCCGCTTCGATTCCACATGTCAGCAGCACAAGAACCAAGGTGCAGAAGAAAAACTGGATTTTCCTAGGATCCATCTTGATGGTGTTACAAAAGAAACTCATCTAAGAGAACCTTGCATCCTTCGGAATTTAAAATCCTAAAATATTGAGAACGAAAGATTTGGTTATGAGTATAATATGTGGGCAGTACAGAAGTAGCAAAAAATAAGACGATTTTTGTACTTTAGTAATTTCTCAGCTGTAATTGAGGAAATGTGGATTATTAATCAAGATGCTTTCCTTCTAATTCTGAGGTCATTGGTTCAATCCATGCAAACAAAAATATGTTACAAAGTACATGGGACATATGTTAATGCAACTTCAGGTGGGTGTGACCCAATCATAACAGGTTTCATAATTTTCTATTCTATTTATTTACTCATTTTTGGGTTGTCTTGTATGAATATACAGATACATACAGTAAGTTGCATGGGCGTACACTGGGGGATACAGGCGCACCCCCTATGGCAGCAAATTTTTCCACTAAGTGGTTTAAATTACTTTGATAGGCCATTTCAATTCCGGTTTGGTATACACTTTTAAAATTCTATTTTAAACTTTGATGTATTTTCAATAAGCCTACTTAATTCCAAGTATATTGAGGGCCACCGTTAAAAGTAGTGCTTGCAATGAGTTTTAACCTGGTTAGAGATGTCAGCAAATAAACTTACAGATTTTAGATGGCCGTACTTAAGTTTTGTAGCAGTTAATTTGCCATATATTTTTGACACACTGTCAGGGTATTTCTCAGTTGTTGTACAATACTGTACTTGCCATTTAGCAAGAAACTATGTTATCGGAACCAATCTCTTGTGAATCATCCAGCCAAGAAATTAAAAACCTTGATGGTTCTCACCACAAAGGCAGGAAAAATACACTTTGTTCATGTATGTAAACACTGCAATAAGTTAATTGTCCACCTACATAAACCACGGTGTTGTGTACAACCTCCAAGGCTCTTGAGGTTAGGGTGGAAGACAATGACACAAAGGCAATGTATGATACATTTATTTCCAAATACAGTATGGTAGAACCCTTTCTTTAGGACATCCCATTAAAAAGGGGACATATTAAGGACACCCCTATTTACAGCAGACACTTTTTCCGCCACAAATTGAAAAGTATTCCTTTTACACTACAGCCAACCTCTATTTCGGGGACACCCTTATTATAGTATTAAGGGGACACTATGATCCTGAAGATATCTTTTTAATAGGGATTCTACTGTATGAGACAAAATTTAGGCATTATCTGATAATTGTCCA